ATGGGCCATAAATAAGGTCTGGAACACTAAACATGGCAAAGTTATTAGTCCGAATTATTTGATATACTGATGATAGTGTTTGACCTAAATTATAAGGTCGTTTATTCAGCATCTCTTTAACCCATGCTTTCACGATAGCGTGGCCCTGCTGAATTTTGTCGAGTTTCATGGCTTCTAAACATGCTACTCTTTGCAAAGCAAGATATTTTGAAGATCGAGCAGAGTTCTTACTACACAAATGCCGGTCGGAAGATAAAGGTAAGTTGTGTGTACGCGTAATTTCAAGACTTTTCATTTTTTACTTACATTTTGCTATCCTTCTTTGTGATTACTGGTTTTCTCAACTGAATCTTTTACGTTCCGAATGAGTTTAACAGGTTGTATGCTTTCGCTAAAGATATTTAAGCCATAACTGTCTTTCTAGTCGCATTTACTCTTAATTCAGCTGACTTTGTGTTGCAAACTTTCATCGAACTCAGCAAGGATGGCTGGTCGGTTTGTACCGACAGGCGAGTTGCTGCAAGTGTGGAGAAGATGGTGTCGTATGCATCAGTGGAATCGATTGGCTGCCTGTTGAAGACCTTTACCAAGGAACTACATTCCCTCTTCAACACCAAATTTGCCCACCATGTCCTTCATGCTGCTCTTTGGCATTGTGCCTTTCATCCGGACCTTCGCCAAGACGAGCTTATTTCTTCCTGTGTTGCTGACTATCTTGACTTTATGTGGGACAATTATGCCATCTTTCTGCATCAATCTCATGCCTCACCAGCCTTGAGGGTCTATCTGCAACTCCTCTCCGGAGTAATCATTCCGAAATCGCCTCATACAGGGCTATATGAAGTGGATAAGGTTGCTATCATTGAACCACTTGATTCAACCTACAAAGATAGAATCACTGACTTGACAAATAAATTCCTCCTCTCGGAGTCATTAAATGCTTTCGTTGTAGACCCCATGTCTGGTGCTTTTTTACAGACTCTAATCATTATCTGCTGGAAACGGTTAGAAGGGGATTTTGAGGCTGTCTGCTCGAATATCTTGCGCAGATCACAACTCTTGAAAATATCTGATAATGCTGAAGTTATGAAGGTGGATGAAAAACAAGAAATCCGGTAGGTATAGGTAACTAGTATTTTTTTACCAAAAATTGGTAGTTCTAACTAGGTCGATGCTGTTACGCAATCAAGTGTCCAATTTTAAAATTTTAATTCGAACGCCCAGAATGAAGTGGCCTGCCTTTGTTTTTATTTTTGAAGTGAAGCATTAAACTCGGTGCCTAGATTTTGGATCCTAACTTAATTACTTTGTATGGTGATAACCCTTCTCTTCCCCATTTGTTTTTCATTTTCTCCACCAAGATCGCTCATCAAACTATCTCATCCTCTTGTTTTTGTCTTCGCTGTTGCCTAATACTTCAATAGTGTACTAAATCGGCTCGTCTCTTGTTTTTAAAGTAATAGAAATTTCTGAAACCATTAACATTTTCAACAAATTGATGAAAACTGAAGGCTGTAGATCATAAACGAGCGTTCATTCATGATCGCTCACAGTAAACCGCAGTCTCTTGAAGGTCTTTATCTTGTGTATGAATGCAAATTTCAAAGAGCTATCGGT